TACACAATTCTGATCTAAGTATACTTATATTTACAAGTTTATCACACTATTAGAAAGATACATTTCTATTTCAGTTCGAACCAATTGTTCGAGGTTCAATAAATTTTTCTCTCAACTCCAAGTTCAAAAAATCTTGAAGTTTGTTACATCAAAGGTCATAGCATGTCTGCTAGTAATACGGCATTTGCCATTATACAACACCAGCATCCCTTGTGTGACCATTGCAGTAAGATGCAACGTTTCCCCATCCATTGTGAGAACAGCTGCCAAGAGACGATTCTGAACCCGTACAATCCATGTAATTCAACCATACTTTACCCGTCCCTCGTCCATAGCGCCAATATCCTACAGCTTTAGTAAAACCAAGTTGACGGCATGCAACCTTGGCATCGGGCACACCCCAGTAATCATTACACACTGTTCCCCATAGACCCTGGTAAATACACCTCTTCGAACTCTAGACGTATTCAATACCATATGCCATAATACTCTCATGATGAAAGGTGTCCCCATTYAAATGATGTATAAAGGTCCGAATTTTAGTATTCTACAATACCGAAAAGCTATTACCCTGAATAGTTATTGTTGCCTCCCATACAAGGTTATAGGTCAAAGGCGCTGCACAAAATTTATAGTCGCTGAGATTTGAAGATAAGGAAAGACTACRTGAACTTTCTTTGAAAAGGGACAAGAATAAGGAAAATACGGGTAATTTGCCTCACGTAACATATATATATATATAGTTGCTGCACCAATTTCATTGCCAGGTTCGCCTGTTGCAACTGCTTACCATAGAGCATGCAACGCTGCTGGAAACAACCCGCCGGATCCGCAGAGGGATCAGTAGCGTTATTTGGTATTGCTGCTGTACAGAATGTTGTTGCTGTAAGACATGCTATACGCAGGGAGTCATTTACCTCATTTTGTTGCTTGCGCTTCTGAAAAATCTTCTGGTGAAGAACAATGTGAGGGCAAATAATATAGAAAGATTGCTTGATATTATGATCCATACCAGAACAAATACACACGACACCAGCATCATTATTGTGATTATTGCACCAAGAGGGAACGCTTCCCCATCCATTGTGGCTACAGCTTCCAAGTGAGGACTCTGAGCCTGAACATCCCATGCGGTACAGCCATACTTTACCCGTTCMTCGTCCACTGTACGAAGGTCCTAGAGTTTTGGTAAAACCAAGTTGACGGCATGYAACCTTGGCATCATTCATGCCCCAGCTACTATCACACACTGTTCCCCACTGACCCTGGTGATACACCTMTACGAGATAAACCTTTTCTAGGTCTTTTTACAACAATTTATTTACATTTCTTATACTCTATTCACGCCAAAATAGGTTTAGTTAAAGTAGGTTTTTCTAAATTTTATAATATACGAGCATTTAMTTTCAATGGAGTAAAAAGGCCTTTAACTTATGTTGTTCAAAATAATAAACAGTTATGAGTTTAATAATTTTCTAAACCTGTGT